ACAAACTATTAGCATAAACAGCAGACAACAAAAAGAAACCCACAAAAAAAAACAGGAAAAACCATGAAGGACAATCAAGATTTAGAGCTAAGGACAAGTAGGGCTATTTTCATTGGGGGGGGAGGGGGGCAGGTGAGAGATGCCTAAGAGCAAATATGGCTGAAGTCTTCAAGATGCTAAAGGGGATAGTGAGAGTGGACATAAATATGGTACCCAGGGACACTGCTCCAGATTTAAGACAAGGAGAACAAAAACTTCAAATAAAACTGAAGAGGAGATCTTAAGAGAGTCATACCAAAAAAAAAAAAAAAAAATCAAAAGCTATTTTAGAAGAATGTAATTTAAAAACTTACATAGACTATTTCTATACCCCATTTTTTTTTTTTAAATTTTACTTATTTGACACAGAGAGAGAGCTATCGAGAGAGAGCACAAGCAGGGGGTACAGCGGGCAGAGGCAGAGGGATGCAGGGCTCGATCCCAGCCGAAGACAGATGCTTAACCGAATGAGCCACCCAGGCGCTCCACCATACCCCATTTCATTAAACCAAATCATGCTAAGTGATAGCTAAGGTCCACAAACCACTTTGTAAATCACAAAATCTGTTCATCCACTCAGTATTTTTAAGTGTAAATGACCACTGCAGTTTTAAGGTGAGGAATGAGGTAGGAATAAGCAAGAATACATCAGACGGTACCAAATGCCCTGACATCCCATAATGAGCAACCCAGATTTACCTTCTCTAGTTCTATAAGAAAGCTGTCCAGAGACTCATCTGAGAGTTTGCCAACTTCAAACATTGTGACCGCATGACTTTTCAAGTTCTGGCATAAAGAAACAAAAACAAAAAAACTAAAATGGATCTTAAAACCTTATACAAGTCTATTATGAGTAAGTTCTAATTTTCTCTTTTTATAGGACATGTAACATCTTATATTTCTATTATGCTTTCCAACATAATCAAAGTTAAAGATTGAGGTGTGAGGCTAACCCTCACTAAAAAGTTACTATACTCCTCTAAGGAATACAAAACAAAGACAGTTGCATTTTGTGTTTTCAGGAATAAATCCAGTACTTAAAAAAAGGATCTCAAAGCATGAACTGTTTTACATCTAATCTTTACACACTGCCATATTTAAGCAAGAATTTGACTTACTGGTGAAAGATTTCCCATCATTAAAAAGGCAGTAAGAGTTGAGTCAAATAGAAAAGCAATACGCTTCGTATATCCTGTAGATAAACTCAAACTGCTTACACTGGCTGTGTCAGCTGGAAAAAAAGAAAAAATTGTAATTTAAAATCCAGCCAATGAAAATTATTCTTCACGTACCATTTGGACTGAGAAAGAATTGCATTTCAACTTGATTTAATACCTGAAAAGTACTAAACCTACTATAAGCAATTCTATAGTCCTAAGGGGCCTCAGTCCTACCTATCTCCACCAGAGAAAGTTAAGAAAAAATTGTTTTTAAGTACTCATTCTTGTGGTAAATTCCTTGAAAACCAGTAATAAACCAAGCCTTGGTAACTATCAGAACACTAAGACAAGCCAGCCTCTGCAGACAAGTCACTTGGCTCGGGTAAGAGCCTGGGGCAAGAACAGGAGCCCAGGCAGTGCCCCTTTCCCCCGGGCCAACATGAAACCACGTGTAGCCCCCTCTTGCACTATGCTTTGCCTCCCTTTGTGCTTAGCCCGTGCTGAGGCCTTCCCTCACCCACCAGCTGGCATTCTCAGCCCAGTTATCATCTTCTCCGCGAAGGCTTCCCAAATCTCTAAGGCAACAAGAGAGCTCGTCCCCTTTGCTCCCCCCAAGCACCGAAACACTTGTCACACTGTTGTGGGTTTTTGTGATTCTACTGCCTTCTCTCTCCCTAGACTTAATTCTCAGAAGGAAGGTACCATATTCAATGCCTAGCATATGGCTAAGTACTCAAAGACTGCGTATCGAATGATATCAAGAACAAAGTCGAGTTCACTCTGTGAGGGTCCGTATAGACACATGGCATAACTATACACAGACTCTAAATTAAACTGAGTAACTGCTAACCTGGATCTTCTTGACTGTTTGTATCCGTGTCAGTAGCTGATGAAGCTTCTTGTACGGGACTCCTACTTTCCCCACCATCCCATGACAGCAGCATCTTTTGTGGATCTAAAGTACTCCTATTAAATGAAGAATACATCCACGTTTTAAAAATCATACAAATTATATCTTACATAAAAATAGCTACGGAAGTCAGCACGCTAATTATGAATACCCACCCAGTCCAGTCATGTTCAAGCCCCAAACTGAAACATAGCCCCAAAATGCTCTGCCCACATACAGCAACGGTTCTTAACCAAGACCCACGGATAGGCTCCAGGGAATCTAAGAACTGTTTAAAGCTGTATGTAAAATACTCTAATGTACTTTTCTCTGGGGAAAGGGTTCTTGTTTTCATCAGATTCTAAAAACGATTCATCACACAAAAAAAGATTAAAAACCACTAATATCCAGGGTTCACCTCAACTGACAGGTTGATAAGGAAAATTTTTGAACATAAAACAATGTTTTTTTCAAAAGGAAACTCTAATATCTCATACTGAATAAATGAGTTACTTTAATCTGTTTACGGATGGAACATTCCTCCATGATGAGTGAAGCTGATCCAGATTTATTACTTGTCCCTTCTTATGGGCAAAGCCCAATCGGCAATACATTGAAACAGCATTCTGAAAGAATATAAAGGAAGTTAACATTTAAAATAAACTAGACATCAGGGCGCCTGGGTGGCTCAGTTGGTTAAGCGACTGCCTTCAGCTCGGGTCATGATCCTGGAGTCCCGGGATCGAGTCCCTCATCGGGCTCCCTGCTCGGCAGGGAGTCTGCTTCTCCCTCTGACCCTCCCCCCTCTCGTGCTCTCTCTATCTCATTCTCTCTCTCAAATAAACAAATAAAATCTTTAAAAAAAAATAAAAAATAAAAAATAAACTAGACATCAGAGTATTTGTAGAAATAAAATATTGTCATAGATTCTGCTTATAGTGAACCTCAAACGTTTCTATCCCATAACTAGAAACGGCCGGTTTTCAGTAGGCCTGCCCTTCCCCTAAGGTGTTCACAGATGTAGAAGAGACAGTGCTTCCCATCTCTGGCCTGACGCTTTGTAGGAAGCAGCGGCAGAAGGGGATGCTTTCAGTGACCTCATTACAAGACACTGATCGGGCTGCTTCCTGCACGCACAGGACCATGAGGCCGGCTTTCACTCCCTGGGGTGGAACAACTGCCTCAGGGCCCTTACCTTGCTCTCTTCTACCTCTGCAGGTACCCCCCCTTACTGTCCTCGCTCCCCTGCACAGCCAATAAGAATCTCACTGTCTCTCTTTCTCAGTAGCTTGTCAAGACAAAAGTCTGTAATAAAAGCCATTCGGTATTTATAAATAAAAGGAGTATAAAAGTCACATACCTTAACCAAGGATAAGTCTATTTCAAGGACATTTGCAAGCTAGAAAATAAAACAAAAAATTATTTCCATTCCTAGAATTATTAATATTACACAGCTGTCATAAACAAGTGAACTATAATCAGCAAAATTTTATATTATGAATAATTCAAAGGCTGAATACACTTTGAAATCAGAACTTAAACTTTCCTTATGTCTAAGATGCTTACAGTAGTATGAATCCAAACAGCGACCACATCAATAGAAGATTCTTTACACTTTAGTCTCATTTAAAATAAGAAAATGCTCATATCAATCAACAATCTACAATCCTTTTACCAAGAAATCATATAAAAAGTTATTTACCAAATTATAAGTTATTTACTAAAAAAAAGTTACTATGTATATACAGAAAGTAACTTAAGAATTGTGACTTGAGTATATTAATGGTCTATGATCTACCCATGTATAGGTTTTGAAAACATTTTAACTTTATCTACTTTACACAAACTTATTTTCTAATCTTGAGGTTAAGTTCATTCATAAGACATTGTCATACTTACCTCCGCAACATTAGTATGCTCATCTATTGAAACAAATATCTTATAGAGTAGAGTTTCAAAATAATCACCTTGCACCCGATTCATTACAAAACCTTCAAGAGGAGGAACTAAAACAAAATAGACTTTCATCAGTGATATGATTTTATAAAACAAAAAAGCATAATTCAAATACCTATTCAAAAAGAGAAACCTCTACTTTAGGGACTAAATTCAGCTTTTGATTTAGTTTATCCACTCCACAGCAAGTTTTCTAAAACCCGCAAAGTTAAGGCCATATACAACCCCGTCTACACAGAGGACTCTGATAGTAGAGCACAAATCCTACAGAGTAATCCCAGGAAACTCTCAGCATTACTGAGGCAGAGGAAGTGCTGGAGGACATGAACTGGGTAGAAAGGCAAGGGGATTGGGACTGCTTCCGAATGGGGAAGGCCACAATGGCTGTGTTTTAATGCCTCATAGACAGCAGGGGTGACTGGGCTAACGGAGAAAAGCAAAGGACACAGAACTGCTGTGCTATCTACAAAGACCAGGTGCACAGAGAGTACTGACGGCCTTTCTCCCATCATCCCCACTCCATCCTGAGAAGAGAGGAAATTCATCTGCATGACCGCCACTTTTACCAGCAATCACTAGGATCATTTGCTCTTTGGGGCTTTCTAGTCTGTGTCCTCCTCAGTGGCCTTAGTGGGAAGACGGGCAAGACCTTCTTCAGCACAGGAGGCAGCCCAGCAGTGGCTGTCCACCTGAATGGGTATTCATATTCATTTCTCTCCATCTTTTTGGTCCAGACACTCTAAACCAATTTACTAGAGCACTCTGCCTAGTTCATAATGAAGAGGCACTATGCCTTCCTTTACCATTCTCCCTGTGCAGGTTTCCCTTGAAAATATCCTGGGAAGGCAGAGTGCCTAGGCCATCAAAGGATGTGAGTAAGTATCCCCGTGTCCCCTGACCCTAATACCATCTAACTGTACCCAAAATCGAAGTTCTTCTTTACAAAGAGAAATCAGAGAAAACTGAAGTGTTCAAAATGAAGACACCGTGAAAAATCACAATGTACATTTCAGGACAGAGTATTCACTTTCCAGATCTGGCTCATGTCACTTTCTAATTTAGTGTTACCTATAGTTCCAGTCATGCAAGTACTTTTAAGGATCATAGGTTTCTCTTTAGAAATATTTTAGAAACCCCATTATTTGCTATCATTAATTCTTTTCCTACACTATCAACTGTGTGAGTAACAGCAACCGTTTACTGAGCACATACTAAGTGCCAGACTACTGCCAGGTACTTTACGTACACAATTTCGTCTAATCCTCTTAACCTCATGAGATGTTCCACACTACACCCCTATATTTTAGAGAAGAAAAAACAAGACACTTAAGAGGTTACAAATACATAAAAAAAGTATGACCTAACTCTACATGAAGAGATACCGAATAGTCTCCAATACACATTAAGTTAAAAAAACAAAGTACGAACTACAAGACACCATCTGTGTAAAACTAAGACCACACATAAAAGGATATATACACGTCTATGTGCTTAGCGTACTTTCGGTAAGAAAAACAAGAAACTTAACAGTGGTCCCTGAGAGAGAAACTGGGTGGCCAGACACAGGGGTCAGAGGCAGACATTTTTATACTCTTCTATAAATTTAGAATTTTATATCCTAACTATTGCCTACTCAAAAATATGGTTAAAAAAAAACAAGCTCACATACACAGGGAGTGGACCGGTGGGTTGCCAGAAGTGGGAGTTAAGTGAAATGGGTAAAAGGAGTAAAAAGGTATAAACTTCCAATTATAAAATAAGTAAGTCCTGGCAGGGGCGCCTGGGTGGCTCAGTTGGTGAAGCGGCTGCCTTCGGCTCAGGTCATGATCCCGGAGTCCTGGGATGGAACCCCACATCGGGCTCCTGGCTCAGCGGGGAGCCTGCAGCTCCCTCTCCCTCTGCCTGCCGCTCCCCCTGCTCATGCTCTCTCTCTGTGTCTCAAATGAATAAATAAAATCTTAAAAAAATAAATAAATAAAATAAAAATATGTAAGTCCTGGGAGTGTAACCTACAGCATAGCAACTATAGTTAATAATGCCACACTGCATATCTGAAAGTGGCTAAAAGAGTAGATCTTAAAAGTTCTCATCGCAAGAAAAATATTTTCTGCGAACTCTGTGTGGTGATGGATGTTATTAACTAGACTTGTTGTGGTCCTCATTTCACAATACATACAATTATCAACACCACAGTTTATATCTGAAACTAACACAGTGGATGTCAGTTATAACTCTAAAAAATAACAAAATAAAAATTTTAAAGATGTCAATAAAAATAAATAAATATAAAGAAAAAAGACCTGGAAATAGCCAAGGAAGTTATGAAAAAAAAAACCTCACAAGGAAGTCCTGGCCATAATATTAAAAGTTACTTTAAGTCACTATAATGAAACAACACAGTATAAAAATAAAAATAAATCAGTGAAGAAAAAAGGATATCAGAATTAGATCCAATGCAGAGGCGAATTCAATGCATGACAAAAGTTACGCTTCCACTCCATGGTCATCAGTTACTGAAAAAGCCATCCTAGCATTTATCCAAAGGTTATTGGTTTTCCAAACAGAAGAAAACCAAGTTGGGCCCTTGTTTCACCTCAAATACAAAAATAAGTTCCAGCTACAGGTTGGATTTGTATGACAGAAGTTTTTAAGAAGTTTTTATATATATCCTGAAAGTAGTCTATTCAAGTGTAACAGAAATCTAGAAGCTATAAAGGAGAGACATAAACTGAGTAAGTATACGGTGTGATGCATGACGGACTAAATATGTTTTACCAACAGACCCCTTCGTGACCATTCTCTTCCAAATACTTCCCTCCTCCAGTTTATTTGTTCCACCATCATAGTGCTTGTTTTGTTGAAACACAGCTGAAATGCTTTCTCTGAAATCAACTTCAGGTGTCTTCTGTGCTAAATTTGATGGCCTCCATGATGTCAAACTTCTTTCCTTTCACAGGTTATTCCAAATCGGGGAACATCTCATGTTCCATGGTGACGAGGACGTTATAGTCAGCACTTATAAAAGCATGAGTCTGTCTGTACCACCAAAAATTGCTAGACACTAAAAAGCCTGGCAGAACATATCTCTGTAACAGAGTAGCCATCCACTTTGCCTTTCTCTGACCCCACCTTTCAGATGCACTTAGTGCTAATGTGAGGCAATGTTCAAACACTCAGTCAACGGGGACTGAAAGGAACTAATCAAAAACCAATCTTTCTAGGTGATTCTCAAATGAGTCAACATCAGTTTATCAATGAGAGTAAAGACTATAATAATGCATAATGCATTCCTATTTTCCTACAGTGACAGGAAACCACTACCAGCCCTGTCCTCCAGAAATCATTTCCTTGTCAAAACCTTTCCAACTGTAAAACTAGTATTTTATTTGTTATAGTAGCAATTAGACAAACCAGAATTAGTATTTCATTACTTTTTGGCTGTCTTTCCAAACTTAAAATAGAAATCATGTATGCACATGGTTCAAGATCCATTATTAAAGAATCACAAATAAATGTCAGGACACACTATAGCATGATAACCTGTCAGGATTCAACACTGATATGAGAGAGTACTTTTGTCATGAGCCCCTATCATCACTCAGTAGTTAAGAGCAAAGTCATTCCCTGGAAATTTTTGACATTTTATATTTGATTACACAAATATTAAATATCTTAGTATGATAAAAGATACCAATGAACAAGAACAAGAGCTGAAAGATAAGCCAGAAAACATACTTGTAACACATAACCTAAATATAGTAAGTGCTACAAACTGGTAAGAAATCTAACCTAGAGGAGAAAAGCTCCACTGTGTTCAACGATGTTAACCACATCACTACTGCAGCAAAAAAATTATAAGCAACCTAAATAACCAGCAATAGGGGAATGTTTTAATAAAACTGATAACAACCACAAGGAAATACACAAGGGCTTTAATATCGGTTTAACTTGGGGAATGGGTGAAGGAGGAAGGGAGGAGTAGATAAAGACAAAAAAGACAACAGTGACACGAAAAAATAAGACAGGCCCATGGGGTGAAAATATCAGAGATGACAGGACTGAACATCTGTAAAACCAGTTACGCACTGAACACAGACAAAAAGGACACAAATCCATAAAATCACTGAATTGATTCAGGATGTGAGAAATTTATTTCAGACTTTCATTATTTTAACATCGCATGGACAACAACACGAAGATAAAAACAAGGAATTTAAGTAAAACACACTGCAATGTGTTACAACATAACAAAGGAGAAATGTCTTTCTTTGAAAAATTCTAGTATCATAGATCTTAGAATGATATGCATCTAATTTATTAGGGTGACATATGCAATGCCCAACACCTAGTAACCGCTCAAAAACAGTGGAAAATATAAGCACATACTTACCTGCTATACAACTGTCATCAGATATTGGTACATCCAGATAAATAAATCCTTTGTTATATAAGCCTACAGAAGCAAAAGTACTCGTTTTAGATGGAATACTAAACAACAGTAAATATAAAATAAAACAAAACAGATTCCTGATTTTCTGTAAAGATTCTTACAACTGAATGCTAGGTGAAGGAGAAAAAAAGTAAACAGAAGAGGAAAAGAAAGTTTTCAAATCTGTTTTCTTCGTATGCTCAGAACTACAAAAATTTCCTTACGACTCATCTGTATAAATTTCTAGTGTATGTGAATAACTGAATAACAGCCACACTGGGAAACAATGGACTAAAGTCACAGTTCAAACAATAACATGCCTTAGGAAACAGTACTATGTGTATCTAATTGATAAAAATTGCTATTGATTGTTGATGGTTTAAAACAAGTTTTTATGTTGACAAAAGACCATTTCTACTAACCACTTACTATGTACTACATTGTAATCTAGTGATCCAGAGAGCTGAGGGCCCGCATCGATGATCTTATCAATAGCGCATTTCTCAGGCAAAGTGCATATCTAAGAAAAGCAAAATATTTTCAATTAAGTTCGATCCAAATTAATTTATAAGTCTCCTGAAATCTTCATGTTTAAATCAATGATTATTATGATTATATATTATTACATTTTATATTGTATGTTATCCATGATTATGATTATTATGTGTCATTAACTAAATGTACCACATATATTTTTCTTTTATCACTCTCGAATTCAAAGGAAAAAGCTATGTACATAACCGTCAATTAAGGTACCATAATATGCTACCAACAGAATGGAGGACAAAGTAATTATAAGTACCAATATTTACTGTTAAGTATTAAGTGTTACCTAATAAATACTAATATTTAACCATCTTCTCTGAATGGGAATCAGATACATTTGCTGACTCTGAATCTCTCAGAGCAGAAGTTTATTCAGACTCCACATGGGTATCATCAGTGACAGGAAGTTCGCTATCTTATGACACAGTCTGACAGCTCTGTTAGGAAGTTCCTACACTGAAGCAAAATTTCTAAGCCTTCCGCTCACGGGATTTAATCTGTCTTCCGAAGTAAAATAAAATGCAAACTAAAAAAAAGTCCCCATGCTCACTTTCATTCCTTCAACCACACAGAGACGTGACCTGGTCTCTGGGCCGGCTGGTCACTGCTCCACCCCTTTTCCTCTAAATCAGCATTTCTTCTACCTCGCAAAGGCTTATCTCCAATGTGGTCTGACCACTGGGACTATCATTTCCCTTGATCCTGGCCCTCTGCCCCATCAAAGCACCTCCCTCTTTGGTACAGCACTTCAGCAGAGCGACTAGGAGCACCACTCCCATAGCAAACTGCCTGAGGTTAAAATCCTGGACCTTTACCACCACTGTGACTTGAACCATTACTTCATTTCTCTGTGCTCACTTGCCTCATATGTGAAATGGAATACAAGACACACCCTGGGGGCTGTTATGAGAATCAAATGAGACAATATAAAAGGTGCGGGGAAGAGAGCCTGGTGCACCTAACATGCAGCAAGTGCTCCAGAAGTGCCGGCCAGTATCATGGCTGCTAGCTGCAGCATCACATCACTTGAGATGAAACTTCTATCTAATCGAAGTCCCCAGATTACTGTA